ACATTTTGGTTTTTTAGTTTTCAGTCTAGAACTTTTCTTATAGTTCTTAAACTAGTCTTTTTTGAAATATTTTTGTCAGCGTGTTCCCCCAAAGGGAGGAATCTAGTATTTTAATATCAAACATAATTGTGAAAAGATCTGTATTTCACCATTTATCTAATATCTTGACTAATGTGTGTGCCATCATTCCATTTTATACAGCAAACGTTAAAGTATGTAAATCCCTTCACTATTACAGTTCTTGTTTTCTATGACTAATATTAGGAAAATTCGACATGGTCACTCACACCATTTATTGCTGGTTTTTAAATAGGAAAAACAGTTGTGCACATAGAATAATTAAAATGTTAAATTTTGAGGAGGCCAAAAATATCTCCTAGTATTTGGAAGATTTGCTGCAATTACGCCCACTTTGATTAAAAAGAAGACTTATACGTTGTGAAAAAAATAAGTTAAAATGTTACCAAAATGAAGTAAACAAAATGAACTGCACTATTCAGGGAAAAAACCATAAATAAAATTCTGGTTACATAAACTTTCAGATTTTTAATATACATATATTTATATATATATATCTTAAAAGATGAGGATTCTTCTGTTTATACTGCTTTCTAGTCTATTCTTTTTAATTGACAATACATTGTAAATACTTTCCATATGAATTAATAGCATTTTTATTGGCTGCATTGTGTTTTATCATATGCATACTCTGATTTATTTTAAAACACTCCAGCTTACTACTTGTAAGCATTTCCTGACAATGAATCCCAGGAGAAGGAATTCTTGGGGTAACACGCATTTTAAAGTCATCTGATACATATTAGCAAATCCGGAAAAATCAAGTTAAGCAAAACCCCCTGCAAGCCTGCTTCTCCTCCGTTACTTACAGAATTGGGGCTAGACGGCCATCAGCCAATCCAGGTGATTTCATTGTTTTTCTTTTTTAATTTCAGGTTATCTCGCACCTCGAAACCTTCCCAGCACTGGATTCTTCCCGTTCCTGCAAACCTTACTCTGTGACACAGACTCGAAATGCAAAGACACACCGTATGGGCCACAAGATATGCTTCGAAGGAAAGGCTTCAGTTACTCACTGTTTGATGACAGGTGGGGGCACTTTCTCAAGTCTGTTCAATTGTTCTGAGGGCTCAAATAACCAGGGAGCC